GAACGAACTGCTGTTGAATATTGTCAACAGAGCGGACACGCACAGGCGAGGATAGGAATAGATGCGGAGTGGAAGAAGCGGCTGTGTGAAAGATATAAAGGCTTTGTGTGTGTGTGTGTGTGTGTGCGTGCTCGCATCTGTGTGTTTGTGCAGAGAACTGTAGGGAAGGGAAACAGCCTTGGAGAGTTTTTGGACACATGGAGAGCTGTTTGGTAAATTTGACAAATATACCTTTGCTGTGAGTTTTGTTTTTTTGTTTTTGACAGATTTGGCATGTTTGCAGATTGTTTATATGGCTGATGCCTGGCTTACTGTTTAAGGAGATTTTCAATATTTCCATGATATTTGACTTTGGTGCACGTCTTGCACATGGCCTTACTTTCCCCCAGCTCTTCTCTGTCTTTATAGTCTGTGCTTTAAGGTTTGTTTGTGCCTTTAGGGGGGAAACACGCTTTTCTTGTGGTGTAATGGAGTGGCACAGAGGCTGTTTCCCAAATACAAGGGGGAAGGAAAACAAGGAATTACAAACAATATTTGTAATATAATATTTTAACTTTTTTTTGGGGGGATGACTTTCTGAATCAATTTCTCTTCATATAATTTAAAATTGATTTGAGCTTTTAAGACAGCTCCACAGCTGAGCTTGGAAACCTGGAATGAAACACTCTCTCTGAAATAATTACAACAAACCCCTCTCAGGGGACAGGCAACATAGAGAGATGATGATATATCTTCGTCTTTAGCAACATAATTAACAGCAATCTTGTTGCCTATATGAAATGTTGTAATATAGCTGAGAGATATACACTTTTACAATCAGACCTAACGCCTCTTTTTACACACACTATGCATACACAGAATGTCCCAGTGTTAGAAGGAGAAACACAGCTCTCAGCTTTAAAGTTAGAGAATTAAATCAGGCCTAGAAACTATTAAATGTCTCATTCCTCATGTTCAGTTCTGAATTTTTGATGCCATAGTTGCTGTTGAAGGTAAGTGGCTTTTCATCTGAAGTATTCCCCCCACAAAAAAAGGCATGTGAGTGGGTGCGAGGACTTCAATAACTGGTGCGTTGACCTCTGTCTGCAACTCGGTGATATGAAAGCACTTTAGAGAGCAGATCCTAGAGAGAAAGGAAAGACAGCAAAACAAAAGTCAGTGTTCATCCTGTGGTGCGGGGTCCTTTCAGTGTTACACCTATCAGCCAAATCATGATGACCACCTGCCTGCTATTGTGTAGGCCCTTTTCTAGTCGGGTCAAGAGCAAAACAGCCCTGAACAGATAGGCCGTGAACTCCTGTGGACCTTTGAAGGTGTGCTTTAGTAACTGGCACCAAGACTTTTGCAGCTTATCCTCTAAGTCCAGGAAGTTGTGAGGTGGGGCCTCCTCTCGGACATCTCTTAGATACTCTATTGGGATGAGATCAGGGGGTTAGGGTTAGACCAAGTCAACAGCTTGTTGTGATTCTTCAGGTCCACTTCAGATGAACATGCACCTAATTTATGTGCTTTTTGGTGGTGGGAGCCAGCATGGGTGCTTTGACCAGTCTGAGCTACACAGCCTGACAATTTACTGTGATACACAGTGTGTTCTGACACTTTTCTCTCAGAACCAGCGTGAACTTTTGAAAAAATCTGAGCTCATCTGAACCACACACTCACACACACTCACACGGCCAGCCTTCACTTTCCAGGCAAATAAGTGAGCCTTGGCCGCCCATGTCCTTGTACCTCGGTGAGGACCACTTAAAATGCTCCACAAGAGCTGCAGTTTTGGAGATTCTCTGATTCAGCCATCTTGCTATCATAATTTGGCCCTTGTCAAAGTGGCCCATATTCATAACTATGTAAACTTTAACTTTGTTTAGCACATCGATTGTAAAGACATTATGTTCGCTAGCTGCCTAGTATTTTCCACCTGCCATTGTTAAGATTGAAAGTCAATGTTAGGGTGAAAATCAGTGTCCACTAGTCATTTCACTTGTCAGTATATGGTTTAGAGCAATTGAACAAGCTGTTGTCTTTTTGGTTTTGTTTGAACAGTTTAATCTTCGTCTACTTAAAAAAGATCCAGCTGTTCGCCACATTATCTCCCACTTCAAAAAGCCAATTTGTTCCTATTTTTACCAATTATATATTTGTATTGAACAAACAATTCAGTGACAAATTGCACTCATGTTTTTTTTCTACAAGGCTAGTAAATGGTAGCTGGCTAATTTGGTATAGTTATGCAGCTTTAGTGATATCTTACACATGACTCACACTTTCTTTTTAGATAATAACTGAGGAGGATTGTCATTCTTGCAGTGGAATGAAGTGTTATTTTCAACATCAGAAGATAGAAAAAGGACAGTCAGTTTGAAATCCTTAATCATAACACATACATACTAGAAGTTCTTACTTCTTGGATCAATTTCCACCTCCCATTAACTCAGCACCTGGTTTTGTTTTTTTATCGATCACCAACACAAAGCTTTCTGTAACCTGCACAGCAACAAATTGATTGAAGGCTTTTCATTAGTCATATGATGTGCCTGTTCATCTGATAGCCCGTGGATCCACACACTCAGCACTCCCACTCACTTTCTTATTCTGCATGCTCTTGTGGGCTGTCTGTCACTTCGTGTCTGTTCCTTTGACTGTCTCTCTCTCTCTCTCTCTCTCTTTCTCTCTCTCTCTCTCTCTCTCTCTCTCTCTCTCTCTCTCTCCGGTCTGTCTCCACAGGATTGATCACTATCATAATTAACAGTCAAGAGTATCAGTAGGTCTATCATGCCTGCTTGTTCTGTATGTGTCTATCTGTGTCAGTTTTATGTTGAGGTCCCTGAGGCTAGATTCAAGCCTACTGTTACAGTTTCATTTGTCCAAAGTGAACTGAGTCAAACAAACTTAAATCTAAGTTGTACTAGTATAAAACCAGAGAGCACTTACATGAGACAACATGCGTAACCCAGTTGATGGAAAATGTCTCATACAAATAAAATCTGCATTAATAAATGAATAAATAAAAACTGACACAAGTACAGTAAAGATGTCTTTCAACAGTTAGATGTATCAGTTATGATAAATTATTAGTTCGCTGCAGCTTTTAAAAACTCCTGTGTGAAAAGTTTTCTATAGCAGCGCCCCTTTCAGATAAACTTTTACCCCTTTTACAATTTTACTTTTACATTAAGATGTTTGCTCAGTCATGAATGGGATTTATCAATACAATATGACACAAGGCGATACGATACAATAGAAGACAATGTGATGCCATATGATACAACATGATACAATATAATAAAGGGATGTCCCAATACGATATTGATATTGGATGTCGGTCGAATATCAGCAAAAAAAGAAAAAAAGATTATTGGATTGTATCGGCCTGCATCTAGAATCTCCAATATCAGCACTCCGGTACAAGCAGCCTGTTCCAGACTCCAGCCCAGCACCTGAAGCTAGAAGCGCCCTGATCCAGCAAGCTGAGCCCACAAAATTAGTACTAAGGTACTAACAAAGTAGCAAGGAGTAGGAGTGATGTCGGCTTTGTGGCAGTACTGTGGCAGTTCACTGAAAAAGACATTGCAGCTGAGGGAAAAAACTTGTCATGCACAATTTTGTGCTGATATCAGGTCAATATCGGTATCGGTCAATATTGAAGGCTACAATATCGGTATTGTATCAGAAGTTGTATCAGGACACCCCTAATACAATACAAGTTAATAGGATATGAGACAATACAAGACTACCATAAAACATGATATGATATGATACAATACAAGAAGATACAATTTAAGACAATTTCATTCAGTACGATATGACAGATCAATCCCTAATATCTCTTGCTCTGGGTAATTGATCCTGATTGATATGATTCTCAGGTGATGGTCCAAACATTCACCTCGCTCTTGAAGCATATGAGATGAAGCTCCTCTGCTCCTTGAGCCTGAAGCTGCATGTACATTTAATTCTGTAAAATTCAAAATCCATTATTTTCCCTGAAGGCTAATTAAAAGGCCCTCGAGCAGTATGATATCATAAATTCACACATGCATGCAGAGGGACCCATTTCTTTGAATCAGGTGCAGCTTTATTAGATGGTTAGAAACCCCAAACTGACAGAACACATGAAAACCTTGTGTATAATACATACTAAAATTGTCCTTGTGACCCCTTTTCTGAAAGAATAAACTTCGAATCATCATTTTTCTATACCATCCCTGAAGTTTTTAATTTACAAAACCATATACAACTGCAGCAGGGGCTCTCTTACAAATGTGGTTACCAAGAATTTCATTTTCTTCTCTGCACAGATAACAAATGTTTCATTCAGCTGCCCTCACACCCAAAAATGAGCTCATTGCACCAACACTGTCACTAAAAGTGTTAGCTTCATTATTTTTATTGACACAGCAGAGCAATTTCTAAATTAGTCCTGGCATTTGAAATATATCTACATTAATTCAACTGTTGACTAATTGCCTGGATAGAAAGGAGAGATATGTTAGCCCCTATGCCCTCGCTGCTGTGGGCATGAGTTATGAACGCTGTTTCTCTAAATTAAATCCCTCTCTATCAAGTTAATAATTATGCATGGAATAATTTCCAACATGGGGCTTTATCTGCGTCAAAAATGTACAGAGAAAAAATGCCAATTTTGCACAGTAAATGACTTTGCATTGTGTTGTGTTTTGACATATTTCAAAGTCAAAGATTTTAATTGATTTTTTATTTTTTGCACATTTTTCTTTTTTATTTCATTCAGATTTCTCGTTGGGTAGTTTTAGTTCTATTTTGGTGCAGTTTAATTAAACCCGTTTGATGACTTTTAAGTTCATTGGGGAAAAAGATGGTATAAAACCCATTTTTCACTGGAGGAAAGGGGGCAAAGGCAGGTTCTGTTGTGGCAGGTGATGAATGGATAGTGGGAGGGAATCCATCTGCTGCATCAACACAACGGAAATGGGATCGTCCACTGATAAAAAATTGCACACTGATAGACGAGCCTGATTCTCACACACACACACACACACACACACCACCACCAAAACTTACTGTAGAGTCAGTGTGTGTGTGTGCATGTGCATGTCTGTGGGCCATCCCAACTAAAGACTGCCGATCTATCATCTGAGCTTTTTCATACCTTCTCAATTCAACTAGTCATTGTGATTTATGTAGTGGTCCAGTAAGCTTCTGTAAAGAATAATGTTGAGCTTTAGGAATGAAGACAATAATTAAGACTATGTTATTTCACATGTTTAAATTGACATCATATTCATATACTCTGTAGGCAAAAGGCATCTGTCTGACAGTCTGACATGGGTTGATGTCATCCAACAGGCAGCATAAAAACAGTCCAACACTTCCCTTAAAAAAAAAAAAATCAACAACTCAATATTTAAAGCCCCCTCCACTGGTTGGTATCTATTTATTTAATTATTTTTTCTCACTTTTAGGGACCATTACAAAGGTTAAGTCTAAAAGTAATGTCTGTTATCTAATGATTGTTACATCCTAACTAAAAGATTTTGAGTTTGCATTAAACTCAGCTAAAAGTAAGAGTTGCAAGAAGGCTGAAATAAGATGTCAAGTAAGGTTTTTTAACTCATGAAGTCTCTTTCATGCTCACACATTGGACACTGGTGAAAATGTAAAACCAAAACATGTCAAAGAAATCAGTCCCCAACTTTGTTTCCATCATTACAGTCAAGGGTTATCATTCTGATTTATATTCAGTATGTGTTTTCTGTCTATGCCATTTAAGTGTGTTTTGGTTCATTGAAGGAGTGGAAGTAACCGTAGACTGTATATGCTATGGACAACTTGGTTCTGCCTTCTACCAGATTTGAAGCCGAAAAGCTCTCGGTAATTCCGTGATTTTTCTCCATTTCCTAAAACCAACATTGCGCAGTAGCTTTGTACGCATTTGGCGGGAGAGTCGCTGCGATGATGGTAGGCTCAAACAGCGTCTCCCATGGGTGAGCAACGCAATCTTCGTACGCCCATAGGCTGTATCAAGTGTCAATCATAGAAAACATGAACCCCCTAATAACTTTTAAAAACAGAGCTGTACAGAAAAAAGGACTTTAGCACAAACCAGTCTTACAATAACTAAATGTCAACATTGCAATCGGGGGAAGAAAAATTTAGAGTTGGTCCACAGCACCATAGGGGTGGCTGGACAAGGCAGGATTTAAGACCTACACTGCAGCCCGTCACCAGAGGGTGCTGTTCTCGGGTGGCGTCACCGAGCAAGGAGGCAGATGGCGCCCTTTCTATATACAGTCTATGGAAGTAATGCAGCTCTGAAAGCTCCTTTTTGAACACTTAAGATCTTTCTGCCCATTTTATGGTTTCTGTTCTCAGTCTTGTCATGTAAGAACATTACATTTGATCTTTTGCACTTTCTCTCAAACTTCTTTTCTAAAATTAAGTGTTTTTGTTTGGCTGAAGTTGAGCCAAGTCATAAATTATTTATTACACACATTCATTGTTTCCATTATGTAACAGTATTATTTATGCTCAGATTTCTTGCCAAAGCAGCACTTTTTGAACACTGCTGGGCAAGCAAATAAAACAAGCAGCACCATAAAATCCTTTACATTCAGAGGCATTATTCTGTGTCGCTTTGGAGCTTCAAAGCTGTCTAATGAAGGAAGCGGTAGCATCTGTAACTTTCTCTTCTCTCAGCAGGATCACATACACAAGTTAAAACAAAGGCCTGTACGCTTTTATGAAAGTTCCCTTGAATTTCAAGTCCCTGTTGTGATGGTTGTGAAACACTGTAGTAAAGGGGGATTTTAATTCATGTCTGTAAAGCTCTCTAGCAAAAAAAGTTGAGGTAGTTTTAAAGGCTTGCAAAAGTTTGTGTTTGTAGAGAAAACACTATGGTTTTTTAAAGGAATTCACGGAGCACTGACAAACTGCTTTTTAAAGTTGGGAGCACCTGTGCTGCTGAGTGAAAAGTGAATTTGGAGCCCTGGGTTGTCAGGCTTTCCTGAGTTTTTTTGCATGAAGAGCTTTGAAATCAGTTGGCAAACTCAGTCGCTAAGCATTGCATGTCTGTGTTAATGCAACCCTGACACCTTTACTATAGCAATACATAAAATCATCCTTCTACAGAGATCAGATTAGACTTAAAACTAATTTAAGAACTTCTGAGTGGCTAAAAAATCAGTTTCTTCTGCTATGGTTGAACATTTATGATTTTTTTCCTGCTATAAAGGGGAGACCGCTCATTATGTGTTGAGTTCATATAGAGTTGTCAGGGCCCAGTATTTCCCATGTGGGTTTAAAAAACAAAAATAATCCTCATCTACATAAAAGAGTGTAAAATCTTTCATAAATACACTATTGTTGTATTTGATCAAAGATTATGTCAGACTGTATTTGCAGTGTGAATGTTCCTGCTGAATTCTATTATAGAGAAGACAAACATAGATAAGCATATTTCTCTCTTACTATATTTTGAGATCTTGCTTTGATGCCAAGTTCCTTTGTTTATTTAATCAGCCATCTTCGCTGGAGGAAACCCAAGTGTAAATGACACCATTTTTAGCGAATCTGTAATTCCTTTGAGTTGAAAACAACCCGGCCAGCAAAGCATGTCATTTTATCTCTCAGAGGGTGAGCGAGACACCCCTAAGAGTGAACGGGGCTTGGTTTTTCAGTGTTTGTGTGGGCGTGCATTTGTGAGCCTGCCTCAGGAGGTGTGCTGCACTGTGAAAAAAAACCTCAGCAGCACACCAGACGAGCCAAATGAATGTCTTTTTTTTCTTTTTACGTGTTGATTGAAGAGCCTCGATATGTTCTTGTTCTTTCCCAGCAGGGGAAAGTGGACATACCCTGGCCGCTGTGCACTCATGTGTGTGCTTTTGTTCTTGTCACCACAGGTGTGTACCAAAACTTTGCTCGCTGTGCCCTGTTGTCCCTCTGTAGTGGTGAGAGGGGCTTCGGTGGCAGTGTTTGCTCGCTGTTTGTATGCAAATGTCGACATGCATTGCTAATTTTCTTTGGCGACTGAAAAGGCTGTTGTGTATGTTTCCACCTGTGGCTTGCACACATCTCAGGTGGTGTTATGTATTGTGTGGGTGTCAGAAACATTTCTACCATGTCAGGGGTTCCACAACATGAACATTGTTAACACCGAGCTATTTGAATTTCAAATTCCTTTCAGGTATTCTGAAGTGGAGGAGAAAACAGTTGAAATGTGAAATTATTGTAATGCTAATTTGATCCCTCTTTCTCCCTGGACAGGTACAGAGTCAGACAGAGACTGGCAACAGGAGAACAAAGTCCTCACAGCAAAGGTAATATGCTCACAGACAAACACAGACTCACTCTACGTGTGGAGGCGCATTAATGAACATCCATATTTTTCCCCCTGGCTATATTCTAATGTTCAATTTAATGGTCTAATGTCCCTTAATGACTGCTTTATGTGCACAGACTTATTGTGCATCTATCAAACTGAAGCACATCTAATCAGACAATTAGCCCTCATCTTGGACTAATTTCCATGTATGTATTCATCACCATAACTGGCCGCCTAATAGGAACACAAACGGACTGTCACTTTTCTGTCACATGCTAGACCCACACTGATTCAAACACACACACACACACACAGACACACACACACACACACACACACACACACACACACACACACACACACACACACACACACACACACACACACACACACAGACACATTTCCATTCATCTTTCTGTTTACATGTCTGTTTGGATGAAAAGAGACAAGTTTGTAGCATCAAAGCAAAACAAATAAATCTGGAAATATGTGATTAGGATTTTAACAAACCACTGCTGCAAAGTTTAATCACAGGTCCATGGATTTGGGTGACTGACGATCACTCAAGACAGGGCTGTCAGTTAAAAAGAAACTAAATGTTTGGATGCTTTTGAACTTCTGCAATCTAATCAGTGATGGTCTTTTTCTGAGCCACTGGCAAGAAGCCTGCCATGCATGAAAAAAGGCAGTCACAAGGGGCCGAAGACTTGCTGTTGCGTTGCTTGGCGGTGGTGCCTCCTCCTCTTCTGCCGCTGTTTCGCATGGGTGGAAAGCCATCAAGGGAACCCACAAATTTGTTGTTGTGGACGAGTAAGACAGCTGCTTTGTACAAAGTTATACAGCCCTATCTTTGTCTTTTGTTTCTCCATCTTTAGTGTAGATCCCATACCGCACTTCTAAGGTGTTCTAGTGTTGTGGTCAGTCCTCCATCAGTATCATCATCTCAATATTGTAAACTCCACGTTTTTAGTCTAGTATGAAATTTACCCTTCAGCATTTTGGTTATTTGTTTATTCAGTTTGGTGTCTAAACTGCTTATATTCAGTTATGAAACTTCAGTGTAGTTAAAAGAAACAAAAAACTACTTCTTGTCCATCAGCGAAACAGGGACCTTTGAGGGCTTGCCACAGCCACAGCCTATAACTTTCATATATAAGATCAAGGAATCTGAATCATTTAAGTCCTTCTAGCTGCAAATTAAAAACCAAGTGGATCAGACACACCTCTTTGAAGAGGAGAGTTTTCAACGGACCCCTGGAAATGACCTAAAAGTGGGTGATTTTTGCCATTTTTAACAATTTATCTGACTTCCTGTCAAGGGACTTGTTGTAGGTCTGGGAAAGCTGGATGTGTTTAAGGAAAATCATCTTCCTACTCTAACCTGCTGGGAGGGGTCAGACCAGAAAAGTCCACTAAGAGGGTACCTTTGAACCAAATTATTTTTGCCCAAGGCGCCATTTTTTCTGTGCCTGATGTACATGCTAAAGTACAAGAGTTTAGAACATGTTAAGATCACCAAATTGGGGATTTAGTGCAGAATCGAATTGTTATAATCCTTGATAATTATATAATGAAATAACGATCAAAGCAGTTGACTGTTGTAGTTTTCAGAGGCAATATACCAAAAAACAGGATTAGTAAAAATCCAAACAAATAACTAATTACAACAGATAAAAGATAAGTAAGACCAAATACTTAAAAAAAAAACAATTTAGGCCTACAGACACATTTATAACAAACCCAATGATAACCAAAAGCCAAACAAGTGAGCTGTG